AAAGTTGAAGAACAAAGATATCAGTTTGAGGACTAAGGTGCCACTGACCCAAGCCATGGTATTTTCAGTCACTTCATATGCTTGTGTAAGCTGCACAATGAATGAGGAAGAACAGAGAAGAACTGATGCTTTGGAATTAAGGCATTGGCAAAGAATACAGAAAGTATCACAAACTGCCAAAGGAAAGAACAAATCTGTTTTGGAAGACATACAGAGGGATTTCTTCTTGGAAGTAATGCTGAGGAGACTTCAACTCTCGCACTTTAGATTATGTTGACAGGAGAAGAGCGTAATGCTTGATAAAGTGGAAGGTGAGCTAAAAAGAGAAAGACCCCAACAAGTTGGATTGGCACAGAGGAGACAACAATGGGCTCAAAGATCAGAACTGTGAGGATGGCACAGGATCGGGCAGTATTCTGTCCTGTTGGACACAGGGTCACCATGAGTCGGACAAAGAAACTTAACAGAACTTAACAATAAGCATAAAAACAAACATGAAATTATCATACACTGTTAAATATACATGAAAAAAGAGCTTGATATTCAATACCAAAAACAAACAAACAAACACACTGCCACCAAGTCAATTCTGACTCACAGCAACCCTATATAGTGTTGCTGAGGCTGTATGCTTTTGTTGTGGTGGTGGTGGTGGTTGTTAGGTGCCATCGAGTCGAGTCGGCAACCCTGTGCACAACAGAGCGAAACACTGCCTGGTCCTGGGCCAATCTCACAGTCATTGCTACACTTGAGCTCATTGATGCTGCCCCTGTGCCAATCCGTCTCGTTGGGGGTCTTCCTCTTTGTCTCTGACCCTCCACTTTACCAAACATAATATCCTTCTCCATCTACTGCCCTCCTGACAATATGTCCTAAGTATGAAAGACGAAGTCTGTCCATCCTGGTTTCTAAGTACAGCACTCTGGCTGTACTTCTTCCTACACAGACCTATTTGTTCTTTTGGCACTCCATGATACTTTCAATATTCTCCTCCAACACCATAACTCAAAAGCATCAATTCTTCTATGGTTTTCCTTATTCACTCTCCAACTTTCACATGAATATGAGCTTATTGAAAATATCATGGCTTGCGTCAGGTTCACCTTAGTCCTCAAACTGACATCTTTGCTCTTCAATCCTTTAAAGACGTCTTGTGCAGCAGATTTGTCCAACGCAATAAGTCATTTGATTTCTTGACTGTGGCTTCCATGAGCATTGATGGTGGATGTACATTTTAGGGGAGCAGAAAACCTCATCTTTCTACTGTGGTTGTTGTTATATGCCATGGAGTCAGTTCCAACTCATAGAGATCCTGTATGGGGTTTCCAAGGCTGTAAATCTTTACAGGAGCAGAAAGCCTCCTCTTTCTTCTGTGGAACAGCTGGTAGTTTCGAACTGCTGACCCTGAGGTTTGCAGCCTGATTCGTAACCACTTCACTACCTTTCTACCACTTCCTTTCTACTGTGGAGTGGCTTGTATATTCAAACTGCTGACCTTGCAGTTAGCAGCCCAGTGCTTAACCCACTATGACACCAGAACTCTGATGTTGGTGTTGCTGTCCAGTGCCATCAAGTCGGTTCCAACCTATAGCATAGGATTTTCAAGGAAGAGATGGTGAATTTGAACCAGCAACCTTATGGTTCAAACTGACTTTTCAATCCAGTGCATTACCCCAGTGCCATATCAGGACTCTGATAGGAAGCTTCAAAATAAATACACTACATACACATACGAAAAGGAGCTCTGGTAGCGTAGTGGTTACGAATTGGGCTGTGCAACTTAAAGGTCAGCAGTTCAAAACTACCACCTGTTCCATGGGCGAAAGATGAGGCTTTCTGCTCCCATAAAGATTTACAGCCTCAGAAACCCTGTACAGGGTTGCTATGAGTTGGAACTGACTCCACAGCACATAACAACAACAATAAAAACACATACAAAAAGATATATGTGCAGTTGGGTATTATTATTTTTATTTTCTTTGTATTGTATATCACTGCCCATATTTCTCCAGGAGGACTGAATTTTGTTATGCAAATCTTTAATCATAAGAATATAATGCGTAGTTTGGCATCAGGAAAAGTAAGATACAAAATATCTTCTCTATTTCAAGCCTGTCAGATATTCTTTGTTGTGTTGTTTGTTTACCTCACACAGGTACACTTTCAAAAAAAGTTGCCAAAGGTCTATTGATTTTCAGATAAGTAACAATAGCCTGTGGAGTTACTAGAAGTATATTTCAATAGATGTTAACTTGAATTCCAAGACAATGAGTATGAATTCATCAGGATTCAATATGCAGATTATGTGCCTTTACATACTACAACCATAGTTAGAAACATGAACCTTTCTCAAGCATGGTTGAATGCAGAGCTGTGGTAATTATCATGAAGTTATTTCAAAGGAGCAATTAATCATAAATACTTTCATCATTATTTTTCGTCATCTGCTTCATTGCTAAGAACTTGGATGACAGATGTTGCATAAACATTGGACTTTAGGGACCATATTTGAGCACACAGATGTGAAAATGTATTCAAATACCAACGTGGTATCTTTTGAATAGGTTCTCACACAAGTTAATACAGGCATATGTACGAAACACACACATGAACAACAGTGCAATCTGTCTGCATCATCATCACCTATACCATAAGATTTTAGATACTAGTTAGGATACGCTCTAGCAAGAAAATGAATTCAATTACTCATTTAAGAAATGAGCTCAACTCTCACAGCGTTATGGGGACTTGGAGAATCAAGATGCAAAGGAGATGCTTCGACTAGAGGAAAAAGTGAATTACACATTAGCTGTTCCTATTTTATTTGAAGCTGTTTAGAAACATCTGTCTACAAAGGAACCACTGCTTCTGTTATGATTCTTTGGCTACTAAGTTCTTTAAAAGGCCCACATTTCTGTGCCAAGGGAGCTGCAAGAACGAATTCAACTCCTTGTGCAGACTACAGGGTGGTCTCCAGCCTTCTCCACACCTGATGAAGCAGGTGTGATCTGATATATTAGCATGGGCTGTTAAAATGTCAACTAATTACCTGGTGATAAACAGTTGCTGTTCTTAACCACCCCAGTCTCCGCCTCACTCATCATTCCCAGCTCTGTGCCTGGTGACCCTCTGGATTGGCTTCTGGCTCCTGTGTCCCTTATGATTGGTGGGTGCCAGTATCCAGAAGCTTTCTTCAATGTCCCTGGTGATCCTTGTCCCACATCACAGATTGACCTCGAGAAAAGTCATGAATTGAATTGTGTTTCCCCAAAGTATGTGTCAACTTGGCTAGGCCATATTTCCCAGTATTGTGTGGTTGTCCTCCATTTTGTGGTTTGAGGTAAGTAAGGATACATAAGTATCCTATGTTTCTCTGCTATTCATAAGGTTTTCAGTGACTAAATTATGGTGAATTATGGTGTTGGAGGAGAATACTAAAAGTGTCATGGGCTGCCAAAAGAACCAATAGATCTGTTTTGGAAAAAGTGTAGCCAGAGTACTCCTTAGAGGTCAAGATGGTCAAACTTCGTCTCTCATACTTCAGACATATTGTCAGGAGGGAACAGTCGCTGGAGAAGGATATCATATTTGGTAAGATGGAGGGTCAGAGAAAAAGAGGAAGACCCCCAATGAGATGGATTGGCCAGGTGGCAGCATCGATGGACTCCAGTGTGGCAACAGTAGTGAGGTTGGCCCAGGATCAGACATTGTTTCATTCTGTTCTGCCGACTCGATGGCATCTAACAACAACAATTATCCTATGTACCGTGAATCCTAATTTCTGCTGGTGGCTAACTCATTAGGTCATGAGGCTGAATGTGTTATGTTAATGAGGAGTAGGTCATGTGGATTATGAGGTAGGATAGAGCCTATATCATTAGGTTGCATCTTGAGTCAGTCTCTTTTTTAAAAAGATATATAAAAAATATGAAAGAGTAAGCAGAGATAGAGGGACCAAGAAAGAAGAGCCAGGAGGAAAGGGCCTCCCTTGGGCCCAGGATCCCTGTGCTGAGGATCTCTGGGACCCAGAGAAGACTGATGCCAAGACACATGGAGATCCCAAAGGACCACCAAGCCCACAGATATTGAAAGGAGGACAGGATGTTCCTCCAAAGTTGACAGATAAAACCTCCCCCTGGTGGCTGAAATTCATACTTCTAAGCTCCTCAAAGAATAAATTTCTTTTTGGTAAAACCATCTGCTTGTGATATTTTTATTATAGCAGCATTAAGTAGCTAAATGAGGACTTCTAGGGACTGCACCACCAGGCACAACTGATGAGGCTCCTCTGCCCCAATGCCATCCCTAAGTGCCACCCAGTCCTCACCAGACCCTAAGAGGGAGATACAGAGCCTCGGGTGGCAGTATGGCACCCTGAACTGGCACCACTCCCAGGATCTAGGAGTCTGAAAGTCACCTTCACATGATCACTTCAAGAAACTACAAAACCACAGGCCTAGGGCTTTGAGGGTTCCAGAGCTAATAGGAGCAGCAGTTAGCTCCACGTGCTGATAAATCATCTGAACAGCCCACTCTTGTACACATTAGTTTTCTCTGGTATTGCAACTGAAAAAGGTAATGTCAATACAGTTCATGGTTCATTACCATCAACCCAATGTAGCCATAACTCTATACCTGTCATACGGCAAAGGTGGTATACAATTACTTTTAAGTCCAAACTTTAAAATTTATAACACACTTTATAATGTATGACACTCCCACTACACACAAACATGCATGCACGAAGTGTAGAAAGACTTGGTATGTCATCAACTGGAAGGAATTGAGGCCCTTCCTGAAATCCTTACAGATATTAGGAGATTTCTCTGCAGAGTTTTAAGACTTTCCAGAACATTTTTAAGTGAAGAAAAGATTCAACAATACATTTTCCAAAAGTGTATTGGCAGTAAAATTTATTTTAAGAAAAACTGTATCTTAGAGAATCAAGCATCCCTGCTCTAGAGCTGTCCACGTTAACATGCATTTATAGTGATACTTGCTTTTAGATGCAGCTGGTTGGTCCAGTGCCCGATGATTTTGTATTCTGTGCTTTTGTTGGTTATCTGATACTGGAAGATGTCGTAACGTCCAGGAGCGTCTCCATTCTCATTAAAAGTAACGGGTGTTCCAGCACTACCTATCAATGATTAGAAAACAATGTGCATAAACAGTTTTAGTGAGATTTAGCTTGGCAGATTATTCTCTAGGAAAGAAGGCTAGGTTAGAATATATTGTGTGTAGTCAGAAATATGAAGTCTGCAATACAGACAAGGCCATTCTTGATAACATAATGCCATTTACATGAAAAGAAACCCTGATGGACACACAGGAAGGAGATGTCCTTCATTGTGTCCATTAGAAAGTAAATGATGAGCATCCAAGTTAGGCAATGTACATAACTGTAAAATAAAAATGGATAGCCTGAATGTTTAAGACTGGATACAAAGAATGACAGTCAATACAAAAGCATGTAAATATCTTGAAACATAACAGCTATTATACAATAACCAATTATGCCCTGTCAATCTCAACTCATGGCGACCCCATGTGGATGAGAGTAGAACTGTGCTCCAAAAGATTTTCAATGCTTGAGTATTCAGAAGTAGATTTTCAAATCTGTTTTCCAAGACACCTTGGGGGGACTGAAACCTCAAACTTTCAGTTAGCAGCCAGGCACATTAATCATTTGTATGACTCAGGTACAATATAAATGGCAAATTGCAACTCAAATATGGCAGGTGAATGTCCCAGCTAGATCACCTAGAGTTTTACTTGATCCCAACTTCAATTCCACTCAGAAGCTGTTGCCCTATTCAATTTTGGCTCTACGGCTCTGCTTCTGCTACCTCTACCCAACAGGATATTAATGTGGGCTGCTGTTGAAAAGCTTTCAGTGGGTTAGGTAATGAACGTTACTGAGATGATAAAAGTTCTCCTAATTCACTGTGATGAGGGGAACAGTTGCAGAGCAGCAGGATGCAAGAAATAACTCTGGTTGCTCTGAAGCTTTCAACTCGTCTCAATATCACCCACCCACTTTTACTTTTCCTCTGACTAGCTTTTCTACAACCCCAGATTTAAACAGTAGACAGGGATGGCCTCACTAGTGTTCCTTTGTTCAAGCTAGCACCACTATTTACATCCTTTAGACCATCACCCCCTCTTCACCTTCTTGGCTTACTTCTCCCTATTTTTACAAATTCCCATGACATCAATTCTTTTTTCTTTTGCCTATCTTCCCTCTGCAGGTCCCCATCTCTGAATGACTTCACCCAGCATGTCAGCTATTTCTTCTCTCTATTGGGCTCAAGCAAAACAATGTGCAGGATTGGGCAGTGTTTCATTCTGTTGTACACAGGGGTGCTATGAGCTGGAACTGACTGGATGGCACCCAACAAAAACAGGAAATTCATTATAAGGTGAAAATGTGTGGTGCTGTAGGATAAAGCACTAGACTGCAAGGTTGGTTAGAAATGTAAGGTCTGAGGTTCAAATTCACCAACCACTCCTCAGAACCCTATACAGGGTTGCTATGAGTCAAAACAGACTCAAAAGCACTTAAAACAACAACAGTTATATTTTTTTGTCAGGTTGACCTATTCAGTTTATCTCTAAGGTGAAGATAGCAATGACATTTTCCTCATAGCATTGTTATGAGAATTAAATTCATAAATATGTATAAAATATTTAAAATGTAAATGGGGTAATTAGGTATTATTATCATCATTTGTATAATTATTCTTTTTTAGTATTCACCCTACACATACTTATTCATATGTAAGGGGACTTGATGGTGTAGTGGGTTATGCATTGACTGCTAACTGCAAAGTCAGCAGTTTGAATCCTCCGAGGGAGAAAGATGAGATTTTCTGCTCCTATAAAGAGTTATATCCTTGGAAACCTTATTCAGGATCACTAAGAGGCAGAACTGATTCAACAGTACACCACACCCCCCCCCCACCAGCATCAGCACCATATGTGCTCTCAGTGTACACTACGTACGCCATAGTAATACAGAGTCATGCTGTGCCTCTGCCAGTTAATGTGCTGGACTGCAAGGTAGACCTGAAAGACAAGGTTGGTGAATCAAGCTCACCAGCCGCTCCTCAGATACCCTATACATAGTCAGTATAAGTTGGAACTGACTGGACACCACTTAACAACAACAACAGCAACAAGGATGGCAAAAGGACTTGAAATTTGTTTTAGTCAACTCAGTTCCAACTCATAAAAACAACACGTGAGCAGAGTAGAATTGCTCGATGGGGTTTTAAGACTGTGATCTTTCAGAAACAGATCTGCAGGCCTGTCTTATGAGGTAACTCTGGATGGGTTTGAATCACCAAATTTTCTGCTAGGACTCTAACACTTACTATTTGCACCACCATCTAGGCAAAGGATTATGGGAGTTCAAACAAAAAGAGATTATTTCTGATTGGAAAAGTAGATATCAGTTATGAATTTCACTACAACATGCGCAACAATTTTTGTCATTTGTAAACACCTTTGAAAATTTGTAATGTGATATCCTTCATGAACAAAGGAATGCCGTGTTGTTGTTAGGTGCCTTTGAGTTGATCCTGACTCCTAGCAACCCTATGTGCAACAGAGCGAAACACTGCCCGGTCCTGTTCCATCTCACAATCATTACACTTGAGGCCATTCCTGCTGTCACTGTGCCAATCCATCTCATTGGTGGTATTCCTCTTTTTCATTGACACTACACTCTCCCATTCATGCTGTCCTGCCAGGGACTGGTCCCTCCTGATATGTCTGAACTATGAGAAACAAAGTCTCACCATCCTGGCTTCTGTATTTTTTCCAACACAGATTTGTTTGTTCTTCTGGCAGTCCATGGTACTTTTAACATTCTTCTCCAACACCATAACTCAAAAGAAACAATTCTTATATGTTCTTCTTTATTCATTGTCCAACTTTCACATGCATATGAGGCTACTGAAAATACCATGGCTTGGATCAGGAGCAATTTGTCATCAAAAACTGACATAAGTAGCTCAAAATACCAGGTGAGAGGGAAGGAGCCTTCACATCAAGGATAAGCCTATCCCCTCTGCACACAGGGTCGATAGGGACAGGCAACATAGACATTGGCTACTTAAAATGGGGGGGGGGGGGGCATAAAGGCACAAAGTGGCTGGCTTACAAGTTTTCAAAAAGGAGTTTAGTTTCATGGTGTGCGGGAAGGTAGAATCCTCACTGAATAGTTGTCTAGATGGGTCTGGTGAAGGAAGATGGGGACAGGATTCATTTGATTCAATAGTGAGTATTTGTTATCATGACTAATTGTGATTGTCACAACTGTAAATGTAGAAGCTGTATAAAAAAACGGGGAGTAGTTAATCTTACATTCTAGGAACAAAGGACCCTAGACCATCAAGAGAGAAGAGCATGAGCGTAAAATAGGACCCTCACCAGAGAAGCAGTGACACCAGAGTTGGAAACACAGGTGATGGCATGGAGAGATAGAGCAGCTGAGGACTGTAGACTCATTGAAAGAGAAAGGCTGTGTGCTCATGGCCAGGAGGCTGGCTTGCAGAATGTGCCCTTGGGTTGTTTAAATGATTATATATGCCTGCATATTTTTGTGCACAAAAAAAAAAAAAAAAAAAAATAGAGCGAATAGAAGCAAAAACTGTCAACCAATGATGAATGGAAGGGATTGTAATCATTTAAATGAAATAAAATATGATAGGTTGAGTGCAAAATCCATAGTCTCCCACGTAATCTACCACTCAGTTCACAATAAAAGCTTAAAAAAAAACAGAATAAAAACCTGACATCTGCTCTTAAACATGTTAAAGAGGCCTTGTGCAGCAGATTAGCCTTATGCAATACAACATTTGATTTCTTTACTGCTGCTTCCATGAGTGTTGATAGTGATAAAAGCAAAATGAAGTCTTTAACAACTTCAATTTTTTCTCTAATTATCATGTTATTTCAATAAATTCCATTGGTGAGGATTTTTGTTTTCTTTAAATTGAGGTATAGCCCCTACTATGGTCTTCATCAGTAAGTATTTTAAGTCTTCTTCACTTTGATTGAGCAAGGTTGTATCATCTGAATATCTCAGGTTAATAAGCCTTCCTCCAATCCTTATGGCACATTATTCTCCATATACTCCTACAGGGATTCTTGGAATTAGGCCATAGCCAGGGCACCAAGCAACAGCCGATGGGGTGGCTCTCTGTCGAAAACCAGAGAGCATACTGGCATCCATACTGAAAAACAGTATGTGCTGGACAGAGCGGACATAGTTGATAGCATCTACAGTTAGTCTTGTAGAAAGCACAAAAGCAACTTCTTGTGAGGTCAGCATGTTCTTTCTCCTCCACTCCCTGCTCAGAAGAAATGTACTCCCACTTCCTCATACCATTCCTTGCTCCTGTTTACTTGATTCAATAAAAATCCGTGAGGACTTTGGGGCCTCAGTCAACCCTGACTGTGGTCTCTCCTAGGTTCCTTGGTGCATTGCATCTGGACTCTGAGTAGTTATTGTCACCACGACATACTCCAACCTGCCAGATTATTTGCTAAGCATACAGACTGAGTAAGTATGGTGAAAGAATACAACCCTGGTGCATACCTTTCCTGATTTTAAACCAATCAGTGTCCCATTGTTCTGTTTGGATGACTGCCTTTTGGTCTATGTACAAGCTCCTCATTAACACAGTTATGTGTTCTGTTGTGGTGGTGGTTAAATGCCGTCAAATGGGTTCTGACCCATAGTGACTCTGTATAGGGTTTCCAAGGAGAAGCTGGTGAGCTTGAACCTCTGACCTTGTGGTTCAAACCAACTTTGCAGTCCAGTGCATTAGTCCACAGCACTACGCGAGGACTCCATAGTGTTCTGGAATATCCATTATTTACAATTTTATCCCCATAGCTTGTCAGTTTGCACACAGTCAAAAGCCTTTGCATACTCAAAAAGCATCTTTCTGGTACGTCCTGTTTTCAGCCAAGATCCATCTGACTTCAGCAGTGATAGCCCTCATTCCATTTTCTCTTATGTATCTGACTTGAAACTCTAGAAGTTCCCTGTCAATGTACTGTTGCAGCCATTTTCAAATTATTTTTAGCAGAATTTAATTTGCATGTGATATTAATTTTTTTTTTGTC